ATATGAAGAATAGGAAGACCAGTTTGGCTGGACTGAAGAGCACATGAAGGGGAGTGTTGTTACTCGTAAGCTGTATTAAAGCTTATAAAGGGCTTTAAATGTCAAACAGGAGAGTTCACATTATGTAGGTGGCATGGTATAGTCTATGGATGCTGGACTTGGGAGTCAGGAAGATCTGCCTCGAACACTTACCAGTTGTGTGACTCTGGGGAAGTCACTTAACCGCTCTTAGCCTCAGTTTCTTCATCTGTAAAATGAAGGAGTTGGACTCAATGACCTTTAATGATCCTTTCAGCCCTAAATTTCTAATCCTATGATGCTACAGAAAACCACTGGAGTTTAAGGAGGAGAGTGACATGGCTGGAGCTGTGCTTTAGGAATATCACTTTGGCAGCTGTGTGGACGCTGGACTAGAAGAACGAGATGAAACAGGGAGACTAATTAGGAGGCTACTTCAATAGTCCAAGGGAAAGGTGAAAGGAGCCTGAGCTGGGGTGCTAGCAGTAAGTAAAGAGAAGGGCCCTACAACAAATGACCAAAAGGAGGTTGGGGTAGGGTGGAGAAGGAGATGGTGGGGGGTTGGTGACCTATGAATAACACTTTACCCCAATCATGTTTTTCAGCCTTGATTAGGCTCCTCATTGATTTACTCGAAAGGTTTTTGTAGAAACTAACTCCAAGTGGCTGAAAAGATAGTTTGTTTGCCTTGGCCCTCAAGCTGGAAACAGCTTCCCCAAATGTGACAGTGGAAGCTCTTGTACCTCAAATGGGCAATCTCTCTTCCATTAATGTACTCCATTCCCAAGCACATGCAAAAGGTTCACCCTTTTCAAGGAAACTGTAAGCCGCCAAAAGATACTTCATTACATAAGAGAAAGAACTGTTAGAATATGGAGGGAGATCAAAGTTCTGTCACAGTCCAGATGGTCCACAAAAATCTGGAAGACCTTCAAAACATCTGAAATTAAACTTCTATCAAGTAAGGTGAATACTTCTTTTGAGCTAGTTTAACTTCTCTATCTTGTACATTTCAGATTGCCACAGTTAACAAGCCTATGTTCTGTTCAGAAAGTTGGATTATGTTCTTGATACAATAGGTATAGGGCTCAGTTGTCTGCCCTCTAGCCAGGAGGACCCTCCCAGCCCAGGCTCAATAGAGGGGAGAAGTCTCAGATGGGTGTCTATATTTTCAATACATCAGAGGAACCCTGATGGACAATGCTGAGACAGCTCAGCAAGGGGGCAAAAAAGATTACTCAGGACACTTCATATAGCTGCTCAAGAATTCTGGTAGATCTATTTCTGCCATTATATCAACTAGTATGTTGGGTCTTGTACCTAAGCTAAGGACTCACTTGGGGAAATCCCAGGATTCCTACAATCTTTACTAACTTCTAATGTCTGTGGTCATCAGTGATATTGAATTTTATCATGGGGCTGCCACCATTCTGGGAATATGTCAGATAAGTTAGTGACATATTTACTGTAGGTCAACATAGTTAGAAAATGATCACACAACCAAAGCAATTTGGTTCACGATAAATTTATGTTATTTAATCTTAATTAGGCTCTTATTTCATGAAAATCCTTTGCTTTTTCTCTGACCCACATTCCTCAAAGTAGCTATTTCCAACTTCTCAAACCCTCTAATACCATTCCCTCTTAAGAGAGTACTTTACTTGCCTTTACAGGGAAACTAGAGGCCATCTGCTATCTCTCTTTAACTCCCTACTTCTACAACCCAAACCCCTGCCACGTCACACCCCTCTGCTTCTCCTTCTTTGCTCTAATCTGAGAAAAAGTTGGAAGAGATGTGGAATCAAAGGAAATAGGTTCAAATCTGAGTGCTGTCTATTACTTGTGTGACTCTGAGCAAGTCACTTAACCTCCCTGTGCCTCAGTTTCTTGATGTGTAAAATGAGAGAGCTGGACTACCTGGCCTCTGCGGTCCTTTCCAGTTATAGGTCTGTGATCCATGATCCTGTGATTATTACCAAGGCTAACTCCTCTATTTGTGTCCTTCATACCATCCCCTTTCATCTCCTTTGGGAGATTGTCTTTTGTTATCCTATTAATCTCCTTTTCAAAGTCAAACTCCCAGAAAAATAATCTCTGCTTGCTGCCTCCATTTCCTTCCCTCCTACTCATTCCCCAATCTCTTGCAATCTGGCTTCTGACCTCACTACTCTACTGCACATGCATTCTCCAAAGTTAGCAATGATCTCTAAACTGCTAAATCCAAAGTATTTTTCTTATTCCCTCTCTTTTGTGACCTCTCTACAGCTTTTGACTTCCCAGCTTGACATTCAAATCCTGCACAATCTGCCTCCAGCCTACTTTTAAAGATTTTTTTCCTATTACTCCCCTTCAAGTACTCTGTGCTCTAACCAAGCTCTTCTATTTGCTGTTCCCCAACCTTCACGCTCCATCTACTCTCTCCATACCTTTGCACAGGCTGTCCCTCATGCCTTGAATGCACTTGCCTCATTACCTCACAAGTATAAAATAGAATTCATTATCTTGTCCCCTTACATCCTTCCTTCTTTTAAATTTCCTGATTATCATTAAGGGTACCACCTTCCTTCTAGGTACCCAAGCTTGCAACCTCAGGGTCATCCATGACTCCATTTATCTACTCAACTCCACAAATCCAATCAATTTCTCAAGTCTTATCATTTCTACCTTTATAACATCTTGTATACGTTCCTTTCTCTTCCCTCACAGAGATCACCACCTCACACCTGGACTATTACAACAACCTTCTGGATAGTCTCTATACCTTTCTCTCCACTCTAGTCCATCCTCCACTCGGGGCCAAAACGATCTTACTAATGCCCAGTCTGACCACGTCACCTCCGTAATCAATAAACACCAGTGGCTCCCTATTATCTCCAGGATCTAATATAAAATAAAAAAAAATAAATTAAAGCCCCTTCCAACCTGGCCCTTTCTGACCTTTCCAGTCTTCCTATACCTTATTTCACAAACTACAAACTACACTAGCTTTCTTATTGTTCTTTGTGCATGACACTCCATCTACAGACTTTGCCTTTTCACTGGCTATGCCCCACGTCAAATGCTCTCTCTCCCTATCTTCACCTACTGGTTTTCCTCAAGACTCACCTCAAATCATACCTTCTCCAACAGGCCTTTCCTGTCCTATACTCTCCTCTTCCCCAAATGCTAGTGCCTTCGCTGCAAGACGACCTCTCATTTTGACTATACATACGTACTTAGTTGTATATACACAGTTGCACATTGTCTCCCTCATTAGAATTTGTTGAGAGCTTATTAAGGGCACAGATCATGTTTTGGTCTTTATTTGTACTGCCAGTGCTTAGCACAGCATGTGGAACATAGTAAATGCTTAATAAATGCTTACTGACCGACCTCTGTCTCTTAGAATCCCTATATCCTTCAAGGTACAGCTCAGATGCCATCACCAATTTCATTCCTTTCCCTATCCTTCCACTTATCAGTGTTCTTTCCCTCTTCAAATTATCCCCCCAGGAGGTTGTAAGCTCCCTGAAGGCAGGGAGTATTTCATTTTTCTCTTTGTATTTCCAGGACCTAACACAGTGCCCTGCTTAATAAATGTTTGTTAAATTGATTTGCAATTCCTAACCTTGATATAAACTTATCCAGAGTTTGCCAATTTCTTCTTAGCCATATGCATGGCCCTGGACAGACCCTTCTCTAGGTACATTTTTGGTAGGTAGGATTCAGGATGGAGTAAAGAATGAGGGATACCACCTTGCCGCCCCTATGTTAATAGAGAGTTTATTACACCAACATACCCAAAGCTCTCATACACCTCTGCTCTCACCTGGAATAGAAGAAATATGCTTTTCAGAGCCAACTGATTCCTTTTAGGGCAAGAGTACTTATCACAGACCCAAGGGGTCTGTGGATAGATTTCTGGGATGGGAAAACTTGGATGGGAAAAAAATTACATCTTCATTTTTACTAACCTCTAACTGGAATTTAGTATTTCCTTTAATTATGAATGTAGGCATCCAACCATTTCTCTGAGAAGGAATTCATAGGTTTCACTAGACTGCCAAAGTGGTCCATGACACAAAAAAGATTAAGAACTCCTGCTCTGGGGTAAAGGCAGAAGTGGCAAAGAGCTGTCCAGCTGAATTTCATTCATGGTGGTGGGCCCAGCTTTGTGCCTACTCATTTCCCAGGTATCTGAAATTTACACTTCAGCTCTGTCTCTCGACTTATTCAAGCTGTATTGCTTCTCGTGTATAGACTCACACTTCTGCTCTAGAACTATCCTCCTTGGGGAATCTGGAAAGCTGGTGTGGTGTGGGGTGACTTTTTGGTTCAACTCTATCCCTCCCGACTTCCTACTGCCTCTACAACCACCTCATATTTTCAATATTTCCAAGCGCTGTCACATGTACCACCTAATTTTATCCTATTAATACCTCTGGGAGGATCCTGTGGTGATTTATGGAAAGAAACAGACAAAGATTATAAGGGACAGGAAGAGAGAGTACCCAAACTGACAGGATCACTCTGGCCCACTCAAGTATGGAAGTAATATCTCTGAGTGGGCAAGAAGGACTACAGGATTTAGAGCTGGAAGGAACCAACTCTATTTTACAAAAGATGAAACTGAGGCTCAGAGAAGTAAAGTTACTTCTCTAAAATTGAAAAGGGAGGTCACTATTCCCATTTTATAAAGGATGAAAGCAAGGTCCAGAAAGGAGAATGACCTTCCCGAAGGCAGAGAGTAAGTCAGTAGTAGAAGCAGGACAAGAATACAGGTCTCCTGATAAGCAATGTGGGGCTTGTTCACAATAGCTTGATAAGGTGAGAAGGACACAAGATGATGACATCCAAAACATGGCAGAAACCCAGAGCTCAGAATCAGGTTGGTAGGACAGAGGCATGGTCCATACTCGTCCTTTTTGGCTCTCAGCCTAATGCCAGGCCCATCTTGCCCCAAGTCTTCCCTACTTTGGAATACAATATGGGGTACAACTCACCTCACTTACAGTTGACTTCTTCTGCGGCAGACCTGAAGGAGAAAAGGAAAACACATGAGACTTGAAATGTACAATGCCCTCATAATAACTCTCCTCACCTACTTAGGAGTTATAAAGAAAGATGTATAATGTACCCAGAACCATTCTTGAGATTACCATATATCTATCTGCAGGGCACTACTTCCATATGCTCTAAGAAACCTTGAAATGCTTTTGTTTCATTCACTACCATCTATTTCTCTGAATTGCTGACAGGTACCAGGCTGCTATCTGGTCCAAAGAGACTGAATGACTTTTCTAAGGTCACAGAACAAGTTAGAAATGGAACTGAAAGGTGGAAGTACCAAGGACTCACTGTCTCTTTTCTCAGAACTCATGTTCCTGAGGTTGCTTTTGGGAATTAGGTAAAACATCTGTATGTCCATAGCTTATGTGTGATTAGTAGTAAAATGATAATTTACTAAGGCAGTTTAGTTCCTCCCTGTATCTTGAGGTTGTACCTTACTGAGGAGGATTTGTGGACATGAGGAGAAAACTGAGAAGTAAAAATAATTTTTGGAAAAAATTTGCTCCAATAATTTCTCTTTCCACTTTGTTCATCATTAAAATAACCCACATTTACCTGATGAATAGCACCAAGGCAAGCTTTATCTTATAAAGATGTTGTTTAATAATTACTAGTGAAAGTGGTACAAGGTCTGGGATAACAGCTCTAGCATTTGCAAATAAACTTCGCTAGTACATAATTATTATGGGTGATGGAGATCACAGATTATCAGAGCTAGAAAAAAATTCAAAGACTATCCAGTCCAACTCACATTTATCTAGATTGTGCCCTCTATTATCCTCATTCTCTTTCTAATCTTCAACCTGTTTCAGCTTCTGCCTCATGCCTGAGTTATCTGAAGTGTGTACGTACAAAGAGGGGAAAATGTAGGTTTTCATTGTTTGTTCTTCTTGAGAGGAAGGACTGCTCTTCATTTTGTCTTAGAATCCTCAGCACATAGCACCGTGCCTTGTACTTAACAAGCTCTCCCTTTCTGTTGAATTGTCTTGAACGACAAATACAATGAGATCTTTGATCTATCATGGCCTATCTGCTGTTCCTTGCACAGCACACTCCATCTCCAGTCTCCATTTTCCCTGGCCTGCTCCCCAATTCCAGGAATTCTTTCACTCCTTCACCTCGGTCTCACATTTTCCCCAGATTTCTTTAAGACAGCTCAAATTTCACCTTCTATAGGAAACCTTTTCTAGTTGCAAGTGTCTTCCCCTCTCAGATAACATAATGGCAGATTTAGTAAACCCCAGAGAATAAGCAAAAACAACAACACACACACCAAAAACACAAAACCAGACAACAGGTGCATCAAGGATGTAAGATACAAAATAAATCCACAAGAACTTCAACATGTCTATACAGTATGCAATATTTACCATCATCACCACCATCACCACCATCATAGCTAACATTAATATAAGACTTTAAAGGTTGAAAAATACTAATTATCTCATTTGATTCTCAAAACAACCCTGTGAGGTAGGTGAATGAATAAATGAATGAAAAAGCATTTATTAAGTATTTACTATATTCCAGGCATAGCATTAAGCACTAGGGACACAAACAGAAGCAAAATAATCTGTGCCTTCAAGGAACTTACATATTAATAAGAGACCACAATGCATATAGGTGCTATTATCACTCCCACTTTAAAGATGCAGAAACTGAAGCAGAGAGAGGCTAAGCGATTTACCCAGGGTGTCAACACAGGTAGTAAATGTCTGAGGCAGAATTCAAACCAAGAAAACTAAATTATTATAAATAGAATCCTAATTTCTTATTTATTCCAAGGACATATAAAACAAACATGTTTTGGGCAAAGGGGAGAAGATTTGATTCTTGTTACAATTTAATTTCAATATTCTGGATATCAAGGGAAGCAGTCTCAGACAAGTTCAATGTAACTTGTGACCCAGAACCCCCAAATCTTAGCTGACACAGATTGGATTCCATCTGGACTGGGGACGGTTTCCCACAAATCACTGTCTGATTCATGTCCTTACTTAGTGGTTTCCCTTGGGAACTTCAGGATTAGTCTGTCTTGGTCTCTTTAGGAAAGGTAATAGGACCTTTATCATTTCCTGTGCAAGTACTTGGCATAATAATATGTAATAAATATAGATCATCCTTTACCTAAAAAAGAAAAAGCAAAGGATTCACACGTGATCCTCTCTAAACAGTCAAAATAATGTTCTTTCCCTCTAGGGACTAACTCTGCCTGAGACCTATACATTCCTCCAGATTTATAGCACATATCCTTGTAGTTAAGGCTACTCCTGAAGACAAATGCACTTGGCATTGCTAGCCCCAATCCTCTCCCATCAGACCTGCACAGTCTGTGTAACTCGAAGTAGTAGGGAAGGGTAAGACCCAAGCTTCCTTCACTCTATCAGAGCTTTGCCCCTTGCTGATCCTTCAGTTCCAGGGCCACATGTTTACTCCTCATTTTTGTGAGGCTTGGTTCAGGAACTCCACTATTTAGAAACTCCCTTTCCCTCTCTCTATTAGGCTGGGTGCAATAAATCTTGGCATTATACTGCTGTCTCTAGGGCCGAAAGGTTCTGACACTACCTCTCCATGCCCACCATATCTGGGTCTAAGAACATCTGCCACTGCTTCTCCAACACATCCATCTCTGAGGTTCTGGAGTTACCTGAGGAAGACTAAATAGATTTGCATCCTCCCCCTCCCCAGTGACTCAAGCCTTCTGTCCATGGGTAGCTTCTCTCAAGTCTGGTTTCTGTGCTCATTGCAGTGCTCTAACAGATCTGCTGCTCTCATTTTAATACCTAAGTCCAAGTGTTATGACTCTACAATAGCCATGAGCAAATCAATCATCTTTAACCAGGGAAAAGAACTCATTCACACCCTGTCAAGAAGACATAATCAAAGACCTAACGTAGTGTTAATGATGGCTACATTTTACATAAGGAGATAGTTTTAAAGCTAGAGGTAGAACACAGGAATAGGAAGGAGACAAGGAGCCCTGCTAGGTTTCTATATATATATGGGAAGCACTGATGTGGGCAAGAAGCACACTCCCTGGGTGCTACGGGAGAAAGACTATTAGACTGAAATTTTCATCCTGATCCAAACTAGTATTGAGGATGGTGAACAACTTGGAAGAAATGAAGAGCAATACGTTCGTGAAACATGGTAGTACTTTTATGTGAGTCCAGAAATTTAACCATAGTACAAAGAAAGGCAAAAGAACGGAGGTACTCTGATCTGAAGCTGTGTTTTTAGCTATGACACAGTCTGCAATGAAAGACAGGTGTTCTACAATGCTCCTCCCCACAAGGCACATGACAGAGAGCCAGTTCCTCAGGAAACAGAACAACTGACACCATCTACTGGGAGTTACAAAAGGCTAGTGCTAGTCAGGGCCAAGGAGGAACTGCTATGAGGTAGCCTACACAAGACCACAGAAGAACTGCTGTGAGGTAAGAATCCCTACCTAGGGCATGAATGTAACAAAGGCTACAAAGACCTCTGGGGAAAGGTTATTCAAAGATGAATCTCATTATTTTCTATAAGATCTGCTGTGAATCCTTTTATTTGACCTGTAAATAAGTGTGTTCATTCTTTGAACCTTATGAACCATGTGCTTGGGAGGGTTGTGGCAACATGGTGATATCATATGATGAAGTACCCAGATTATCTCTGTGGGATAAGATAGAAGAAAAGAACCTTTCCAAGTTTACCCATACCTTCACATGTGGACAGCCTAACACAAATTTAAATCACTTATATTCTTATAACACTTTAAACTTTACAAAGACCTTTCTCTTATAACAATTCTGTGAAGTGTTAAGTATTATCTCCATTTTACAGATAAGGAAACCAAGACCTCAAGATATTACTATAGGAGTGGTAATGCCAGGAATCAAACATAGGTCTCCTGATTCCAGGTCTGGTCTTCCACTATATCCTGTTGACCATTCCAGAAATACTGTATGTGTACACACACACACACACAATATCAGAGAATTCCCAAAGTAAGAAGGGGTTTAATGATAGGAAATCAATATCCAAAAAGGGAAGCAATTTGCTCAAAATTAGAGGTAACTAGATTGGGAGAATTTGATGCTTTTTGTACTCCGCGTAGGATTTCCCAAACTCCTTTGCCACCATTTCAGAGAAATTAGAAGGTTAGATAATCTATAAATTCAAAACAGCCCCTGGAAAACCTATAGTGGAGAATATTTAGGCAATGCACATAAGATTAAAGGAATCATTAGAGTTGTAAGAATTTGTTAGTAAGCTTCTTCATTCCAACAGATATATGAGAAATAGGGTGGTAGGTGGACAGGAAAGGATGACTTTGCAAAAGCATTGTAACATACCTTTTAAAATGGCACCAGGTATGCACGACTGGTAACGGTATACATGCTGTGAGAAAACTGGGACCCCAGAAAAAAACAGGACCAGATATAAGCTATCCTTAAATTTCAGTGCTCACCTGGGGTTTTTAGTTTGCTTCGTCTCCGGGACAGTACTTCTATTTTCTTTGTCTTCCTTGACCTTTTCTGGCTGGCTGCACCAGTATACACCTTTTTTGTGAGTCTCTATTGCTTTATCCAGCTCTTCCTTAGCATCTTACCTGAACACCACATGGTCCTGATATCTTACCCTAGAAGCAACTGCTTACCTTAACTCAGCTTCATGCCCTTCCATTAAGATTTCAAACCCAATTTCTTGTTCACCATTGTCAACACAGCTATTTTCCATGTAGAGAAATAACAATAGCATTAGTTGGGAGCTTTCCACAGCTGAGGTTGATTCAGAGTAACAAGGAGGGAAGGATTAGCACTACATGCCAGGCTCTAAAAATACCTTCACTGCATTGAGAAGGCCAAATGATGTGTGACCTTTTATAAATTCAAACCTGTTCAAATACTGATTTTCTAACTATGACCACATTTGCCTACTTGTTTCTTGCACCTCATTACTGCTATGCTGCTACCTTGT